CAGCTGGGACAGGCCAAGTGATTTATGGTGGAGCTGTGTGATGGCTGCCTTCATGTTATCTCTAGCGTGTAATGACCAGAGACAATTAAGTGAAAAGGTCGGTGAGGTTGAATTGGGGATGGTTTCACATCATTAAACGATATGCACACCTAGGAAACAGGAGAAAAACAGACCAGAGTGCTGAGGGCATGAGCGCCAGATGGCGGGAGGCAACGACCTTAATCTTTCTATTTCTATTTCTAAGGCGCGGGGCAGGGTCAACAGGACAAAGTCCCAACGGTATCCACGTCCGCATCTTTGGGTCCTGAATATGCGAGAGCCTGTGGCCAAAGGGCCTGTGCAGATGTGATGACGTGAAGGATCTCCAGGCAGGGTGACCCAGATGGGTCCAGAGGAGCCTGACTTTGGAAAGGGAGGCGGGAGCTGGGTTTGGTGGGGGACACACGGCCAACGCCAGAGGTCAGAGAGGCTGACTTTGGGGCTGAAGGGAGGCCAAGAACCAAGGACCGGGCGAGGAAGGCTTCTCTGAGACACTCTGCGTGTGGTCCAGGCCCGTGCAGACTCCTGGCCTCGGACGCTGAGCGAATGGGGGTTTAAGTCCCTGAGTTTGTGGCTACAGCAGCCCTGGGAAGTGAAAGCAGAGCTACGTGTTTATCATCATGGCAGAGAAGGAAGTTTGTGATTAAAAAAAAGATGGGTGAGGGTCCTTGTTGACACAGCAGGTTAGAGCACAGCACTAAGAAGCTAAAAGCCACCACAGCATGAGTTCGATCCCCGCCTGCCCCGGAGTTGACCACATGGCGCAGCAGACCTCTCCTGACCTGCCCGCTGCTCCCCTCAGCAGTGTACTATGCTGATCCGCCTGTTCTGCTCCCCACTCTGTCTCTGGTGAATCCTCTCACCGCCCCTGCACCTGTGGCCTGTACCCCATTTCTGTGTGCATAAATAAATAAATCTTAAAAAAAAAATATGGGTGAGCCAGCATCAGTCCACATGGATTGTGAGCATCTGCCATGGTGGACAGAGCCCCCAGGTTCGAGAGGGTCAATGCAATGATGCTCATAACCTTGAAAGGCAGACAAAAAACACCGCACTGAAAACTCCCGCTGTTTGTGAGTTCAACCTGGTTTCTTCTTTAACTTTGTCTGTAAGACTGCTAGGTTCAATACAAATATCTGTAAAAAATAGCCCAGTTATCCCTGAAGGCCCTACTGGAAAGCCCTCTGGAGCGGCCAGCCCAGTGCTCTGCCCAGTCCCTCGCCCACTGTGGTCAGGCCAGCATCTGGCAGAAATGGCAGGTCCTCGGCTTCTGGTTCGCACACTTGATCCCCCTGGGGAGAGGACCCCACATGCCTTCGTCCATCATGGCAGCACCTTCCTGTCACGCAGTCACCCCTCATAGGCGTCTCCGCCGGGACTCAGGGCCTGCTCCTGCGGTCCCGTTTCGTTCTTTGCCGATGTCCATCTCTCCAGCCCCCAACTTGACCCTGAACTCCTCAGGCCTCCTTAGACCATGGGGGTGCTGGCTACATGGTAGCTAAAAGAGGGAGGCCTAGTTGTTACTGGGGTGGGGGTTCACTGTGGGGCTGGGGTTTCAGGAGGCCTCAGGGGAGATGGGGGTCTGTTTTCAGGCCGCTGTACATTCTGGGTGCTGTGGAGGGGCAGCAAGGTTGTAGTTCGGGCTGAACCCCCCTTCTGGGGCCACGGCCTTGGGGAGTGGACAGAGGAGGGGTGCTGTGGGGGAGGGGAAGGCGCTGGCCTGAGAGTCACGGTAACTGGAGCTCAGGCTCTGCTGACCGCACCTGTGGGCTTTTCACACACAGAACCTTTACAGTGACTGTTCAGCCCATTCGACAGATGAGCAAACTGGGACTTGAGGTGGTCAGGGAAGCCTGGAGTTCCTCAGAGAGTGGGCAGCCAGACCTGGATTCGAACCCCACCCAGTTCGGCCTACAGTCTGAGTGGGTGGACCCCAGACGCCTATAGCGCTGACACCCCCTGCTCCCCAACGCCATGGCTGGACCCAGGCTCTGAAGATAACCCCCTGGGGAGGAAAGGACAGGTGAGGGGAGGCTACCAGCTGCCCCCCTGTGGCCTCCTTCAGATGGTGAGGAACTCAAGGTCATTGAGGTCTGAGTGACTCCCAGCTTGATGCAAATAGTTCTGTGGCGGGGGTGGCTGGCGCTGGCCCATCCCTTCTATCCAGGGCTGCGGGAGTGTCCTGGATCCCCCTCTCGCCTTGTCTGGGCAGGAAGAAAGGGCATCCTCACCAGGCACCTCGCTTCACCTCGCTGGGCAGAAGGCTCCCTGTGGGGGTGGAGGTGAGGTGAGGTGGGTGGGGGATCTGGAGGGCCAGGAGTGACCAGTCCCATTTGAATTCCCTTCTGCCATGCCCACAGCCCTGTGAGGGGAGGTGTTGCCCCCACGTTGAGTCACTCGGAAGCCCTTCTCCCCTGGAGGTGACGTGGCCACTCAGAGCTGGGTGCCTGCCAGAGCTGTGTGACCCATAGCCCAGGAGTCATCAGGAAACCCTATTGTCCTCACGGGGTCAGGGCTAACCAGCAGAAGGGGAGGCAGGGAGAAGGGTGGACACCATGGTTGGCTCAGATATGCCGCTGAAGCTCCTGGGTCCCGACAGTTCTCCAGAGATGCCCCCACTCCCACCTGCCTGCTCCTCCCCCATAGCCAGACCCCCTCAGGGCCTGAGCTGTGTGTGAGGGGCCCACCGCAGCCTGGCCCGTGGCCCCACGTGGACACTGCCTGGCACCCCACAGCCTGCAGCTGCCTACTGACTCACACCTTAGCTCGGAAGGCGAGCGGGCAGCGTGCCAGTCTGTCAGAGCCCAAGACCCAGAGCGGGACAGTGACTCAGTCAGGTTCATCCCCAGCAGGACCAGAGCACAAATGGGTTCCCCAGGGCAGGGCCTTGAAGAGGGGACCTCACCTCACCCTGGCCCCCCCCACTTTCCGGAGGAGCCATTGCTGATGTCAGACATTCGCAGGATGTCCTTTTCCGGGTTCCAGCTGGTCACAGTGGGGGCAGCAGGAAACGAGTGACCACACGTGTGGGAGCAAGGCCAGTGGCGGGAATAGGATCTTCACGACCCAGAACAGCTTGCCCACTGCTGTCTCCCCAGAGGGAGGACCCCAGCAAGGGCTCAGCAGCTGGCGCGCAGGGGTCTGAGCAGGGAACCAGGAGAGGGACCCAAGAGAGAGGAGGGGAGAGGAGCAGGGAGTGGTCAGAGCCACCGCAGCCACTAGTTATAACCCTTCGACTAGATTGGTCAGTGTCCACCCTGCCAGCCACGAGAAGCAGTGGGACAGGAGTGGGAAGGACACACGCAGGGAAAAGACAGAGGGAGCTGGGCAGAGGGCTCCCTGTGGGGTGGAGGTGAGGTGAGGTGGGTGGGGGATCTGGAGGGCCAGGAGTGACCGGTCCCACTTGAATTCCCTTCTGCCATCCCCAAGCCTTCAGCTGACCGGAAGGAGATCCAAATGATCACTTGGAGGCACTGGGGCTGTCCCTTGCAGCCCCAGGCACGGGCACACACTCTCCCTTACACAGGGCACAGGGGTGGAGGCCTTGGCTTCCACACAGTCTGCAGGGGGAGTCCAGGGCCTGCTCACTTCACACGTGGGGTGGCACAACCTTGCCCTGTCCCCCAGATCCTTCCTTTAGAGGGGCAACCCCCTCCTCTTCTTCCCTCCTCTGGTGGTTTCGCCTCCCACTCCCCATTTCTTTCCATTCTCACCCTCAGTGAGCTCTCGGGAGGGTCCTCACATCAGTCAAGCTTGGGCCACCTGCCCAGACCTAAGCCAGTCACTGAAGTGGGGGTTGCGGAGCTTGGGCTCCTGGGCCTGTCCCAGAGCCACGTGGATGGAGAGGGACACTACGGAGGGGCTGGAGGGTGGGCTGGCACAGGACACCTGCCTGGGCCCCTGCAACAAGCTGACGCACATGGGGCCTTCCCAGGTGAGGGCCCGCACAGAGCTGGCTTGGGAAACGGGCTGGTGCTGTGCTTGGCCCACTGTCTGCAGCGGCTCCGGCCCCGCCTTCCTGCTTGGCTGCACTCTTGAGTTCCTGCAGATTGGCAGTGCCAGACCTGCTTCTCCACAGGGTGAGTTCCCCCCCACCCAGCACCTGCCCTTTCTAGCCAGTTTTTCAGGCTGCAAATTCCACATGTCCACCCACTCCCAGATGCCCCCTGGCAGGGCCACACCCGCTCTGTCCTGAGTTTCCCCCTACCCAGCACCTGCCCTTTCCAGCCAGTGTTTCATGTTGCAAATTCCACGACATGTCCACTCACTCCCAGATGCCCCCTGGTAAGGCCACACCCATTCTGTCCACCGCAGCTCCTGCCTGAGGCCTCCCCCAAGAACTCAGCTGTCCACCCAACTGCCTGCCCAGGGAGCCAGACCGTGTGCCTGGCCTGCATGGAGGCCTTGCGGCTGCACAGCAGCTTAGCCCAGAACTTAGCCTCCCCGACATTTCCTGGGTTCCCAGTCTATGGGGCCATGGGACAGCTGTGCAGTTCAACAGCTCGAGGAGATCAGAAGCCGGCCCCGGTCCCCGCTGGCTCTGGGTCTTTACTGTGGCTTGTTGGATTCAGTCTGCTGCCTCCCATCTGGCCTCAAGTTCCTCTGTCCTTCCCCTGTGGTGGCAGAAGGCGGCTGCAGGTCCAGCCTCACCGCTCAGGCTGAAGTCCCTCAGAGAGAACTGCGTGTTGGGATTGGGCCCCTCAGGCCACTTGCTGCTGTCTGAGCTCCGTGCTTAGCGAACCCTGCCTGTAGATGGGCCAGGCCTGAGTCACACGCTCCAATCCCCAGACAGCGTGGGGCTGGGAAAGGAGAATTCCCAAAGTCAGGCCGGGGCTCTTGGTGCCCAGGGCCGGCCCATTCAGAGCGGGCCGCGGTGGCAGATGGCAACCCATAGAGGCTGAGCCGCCACGTCTCTCGGGGCTCTGGGTTTTCACAGAAGACACAGCCCAGGCAGGTCCATTTAAAAATCATTTTATTATTAACATCATCTTCCCATTTAGCCAAGTGTCTGTCATGTATAAGGAATGTCGGTAAATATTCCATTTGAAGCTTCTTTGTACATATTTCCATCGATAAATAAACTCTGAATTCACATAAAAAAGTTAAACTTAAATAACTCATATTTCCTTCTCTTGTAACAGGCATATATTGGCAAAATATAAATATTCTTGGACTCAGGCTTTGTTCTAAGTGAGGACAGTAATTCATCACATGATACAATTATCGACAACAAAACCAAGAATCTGTCAGCTGGTGTCCTGGCTTGGACTAGTACTGAGGTGGGAAACGAAGGTTCACATTTGGTTTCTGGGCCACGGCTGGGGCAGGGGTGGTGATGGGGAGGAGAGAACAGTTTTCTTTACAGCTCTGATAAAAATAATCTGTTCTGTCACTGAATTTTAACTTTGAATATAATCTTCTACATTTGCTGATTAATTCCATAATCATTGTACTTAAAACTCAGATGTCAACTAACAAAATATGGCACATAATCCATTTTGAACAACGTCGGTAGATTCAGAAACTCATTGGGTTGGCGGAAATGACGTCAGGAGAGCGAGGACGGGGGTGTTTGGTTGGTTGGTTGGTCGGTCGGTCGGTTGGCGGCGGTCACCCGGCGCCCGTGGCCTCGGGGCGGCGGCCCGGCCCCTGGGGCGCCGCCGGCTCAGAGCACGCGGGGAATGATGGTGAAGGGCACGGCGGGGCTGCTGGCTTCCAGCTCCAGGGCCGTGAGGAAGCACTCGGTGGCTGCCGCGTCGTTGCCCTGGGCTTGCAGGACCTCGCCCAGCCCGTTCCAGACCTCGTGGGCCGTCGAGCTCACCTGCACCGCGTCCCGGAGGATCTTCTCCGCCAGGCTGTAGCGACCCAGCTGATGGAGGATCAGGGCCTGTGGGGTGGGAGAGACGGAAAGTCAGACATGGGCCCCGGTTGGCGCTTCCTGTTTTCCTGGCGTGTCTGAAGCAACTTGGAGGGCGGCATGGGGCCGGGCACGGGGCTGGACACGGCTTCCGTTCGAGAGTTCAAGTTGTGCTTCTCCTGGTCAAAACAGCCGCCTGAGCCCTATGCAATTATCAACATCCGCCATGCGCGAGTGATAAGGGCGGTTTCCCGGCCCTCTCTCTCCTGGCGCAGCGGGTTAAAGCGCAGCACTAAAAAGCTAAAGCCACTTCAGCAACGAGTTCGATCCCCGGCCAGGGTGTGATCCACATGGCGCGGCAGACCTCTCCTGACCCGCCCGCTGCTCCCCTCGCAGTGTTCTGCTCCCCGCTCTCTCTCTGGTAAAGCCTCTCACTTCCCTTCACCTCTGGCCTGTACCCTAGTTCTGTATGCAGAAATAAATAAATCTTAAAAAAAAAACAAGGGTAGTTTCTAATGGCTCAGGGGGACCCTTACACCCCAGGCTGGCTGCAACCCCGTGTGCCCTGACCCCCATCTGCCCTGACCCCAGTCTGCACTGACCCCCGTTGCCTGACACCTGCCTGCTCGGAAGTGTCGCTGTCTTTGCCTTCTAACCCAGACAAATGTCTTTGGTGGTATTACGTAATGCTCAGAACAGACTCTAAATTGCTCAGAGCCCCCCACCCTCCCATTGTTCCCTCCCAATGTCCCCACCTTACTCAGGCTCAGCTGCATTTTACAAGGTTTTAATCAAGTGTGTGCGCTGGTGTTGCAGTATTTGTCGTGAACAGGCTTCTGCGTCACGCCACTGCGGTGAGGCTGTGCCGTCACCCACTGGGCGCGCACCCCCCCCCCCCGGGCAGGGACACAGCTCTCTAAGTCACACTGCGGTGACCCTCTTTCCAGATGGCGCCACTGTCTTCGGTCAGGGGGTTGCAGAT